TCTTCCTCCTCTGTGTTCCAGGATTACATGCAATGAATTTTCACCTGAGTGCAATACAGTATATCTTCGTGATTACCTAAATTTACTCAGAGTATCACATGTCCCCCTTTTCATCTGTCAGTTTATTAATTTGGATTCTCTATATATTTTGGTTAATTTGGACAACAGTTTGTCAGTTTTTATCTTTGATTTAAATTAGAAACAAGCCTCTGTCAGATGTGGGGTTAGTATCTTTTCCCAATCTATGGGGTGCCTTTTTGTCTTGCTGAATGTGTCCTTTGCCTTACAGAAGCTTCTCAGTTTCAGGAGGTCCCATTTATTAATTGTCAACCTCACTGTCTGTGCTACTGGTGTTATGTTCAGGAAGCAGCCTCCTGTATCAATTCGCTTAAGGGTGCCTCCCACTTTCTCTTCTAAGAGGTTCATGGTGGCTAGATTTATGCTGAGGTCTTTGATCCATTTAGATTTAAGTTTTGTTCATGGTGATAGACATGGATCTATCTGCAGTCTTCTACATGCCAATATCCAGTTATGCCAGCACCATTTATTGAAGATGCTATCTTTCTTCCATTGTATAATTTTAGCTTCTTTGTCGAAAATCAGCTGTTCATAGATTTGTGGATTAATCTCAGGGTTTTTATTTCAATTCCATTGGTCTACTTGTCTAATTTTGTGCCAATACCAAGCTGTTTTCAGGACTATAGCTCTATAATAGAGCTTGAAGGCAGGGATGGTGATGCCTCCAGACATTTCTTTGTTGAGCAGTATTGTCTTGGCTATCCTGGTTTTTTTTTTGTTTTTCCATATAAAGTTGGGAATTGTTATTGAAAGGTCTGTGAAGAATTGTGCTGGGATTTTGATGGGGATTGTATTGAGTCTGTAGATTGCTCTTGGCAGGATTGCCATTTTTATTTTACTACATTGATCCTACCTATCCAAGAGCATGGGAGATCTTTCCATTTCCTGGTGTGTTCTTTAATTTCTTTCTTTAAAGTCTCAAAGTTCTTATGATACAGGTCTTTCACTTGTTTGGTTAGCATTACCCCCAGGTATTTTATGTTGTTTGTGGCAATTGTAAAGGGTGATGTTTCTCTGATTTCTTTCTCAGCCCTTTTATCATCTGTATATAGTAGGTCTACTGATTTTCTTGAGTTGATCTTGTATCTTGCCAGGTTGCTGAAGGTGTTTATCAGCTGCAAGAGTTCCCTGGTAGAGTTTGTTGGGTCACTTATGTAAACTATTATATCATCTGCAAATAGTGAAAGTTTTACTTCTTCATTTCCAATTTGTATCCCCTTGATCTCTTTTTGTTGCCTTATTGCTCTAGCTAGAACTTCCAGTACAATATTGAAGAGATATGGGGAGAGGGAACAGCCTTGCCTTGTTCCTGATCTTAGAGGAATTGCCTTGAATTTCTCTCCATTGATGTTGGCTGTTGGTTTGCTGTATATAGCTTTTATGATGTTTAGGTATGTACTTGTTATCCCGAATCTCTCCAAGACATTTATCATGAAGGTGTGTTGGATTTTATCAAAGGCTTTTTCAGCATCTAGTGAGATGATCATGTGATTTTTGTTTCTCAGTTTGTTTATATGGTGGATCACCTTGATGGATTTTTGTATGTTGAACCATCCCTGCATCCCTGGAATGAATGGTGGATGAGGTTTCTGATGTGTTCTTGGATCTAATTTGCCATTATTTTATTGGGTATTTTTGCATCAATGTTCATGAGGGATATTGGTCTGAAGTTCTCTTTCTTAGTTGTGTCTTTGTGTGTCTTGGGTATCAAAGTTATTGAAGCCACACAGAAAGATTTTGGCAAAGGCCCTTTTGCTTCTATTGCATGGAATACTTGGAGAATAATTGGTATAAGCTGTTCTTTGAATTTCTGGTAAAATTCTGCACTGAGGCCATCTGGCCCTGGGCTTTTTTTTTTTTTTTTTTTTTTTTTTTTTGGTTGGGAGACTTTTGTTGTGCTTCTAATTCCTTAGGTGATATATGTCTATTTAAATTGCTTATCTGATCCTGATTTAATTTTGACAAGTGATATCTATCCAGAAAATTGTCCATTTCCTTTAGATTTTCAAATTTTGTGGAGTACATGTTTACAAATATGACCTGTGATTCTCTGGATTTTGTCAGTGTCCATTGCTATGTCCCCATTTTCATTTCTGATTTTTCTAAATTTGCATATTTACTCTCTCTCATTTTGTAAGTTTTGTCTATCTTGTTGATTTTCTCAAAGAAGCAACTCTTCATTACATTGATTTTTTGTATTGTTTTCCTAGTTTCAGCTTTATTGATTTCAGCCTTCAATTTGATTGCTTCCTGTCATCTACTCCTCCTGGGTGAGTTTGCTTCTTAGTGTTTTAGAGTTTTCAGTTGTGCTGTTAATTCTCTAGTGTAACTATTCTCCAGTTCAGACATGAATCAGGGGAGTGTCAGCCTACAATCCCAGTGCCAGTGAGTCTGGGAAACAAGGAGGTTCCCAAGAGAGATGCATGATGCCCCATAGAAGTGGAATGAGGCAAGATCTCCTGAGCAGATTGGGAACATCAGGGAAGAGGAGAGGGAACCAAGAAAAAGAGAGGGCGGATAAGAGGAGGGGAGATGAAGGCATGGGGGGCAGGAAGGTTGAGTCGCGGTAAGAATAGAGGAGAGCAGGATGAGAGATACCATAATATATCGAGTCATTATAGGCTTGAGGAGAGAGCTGACACTATTGAGATCTCCAGAGATCTACAAGGATAACACCAACTGGCAAACTAAACCATAGTGAATATACTACACTAATAACCCCTCCTTGATGATAGGGTTGATGACCACCCTATATGCCATCCTAGAACCTTCATCCAGGGACTGATGAAAGCAGAGATAGATACCCACAGCTAAACACTGAGCTGAACTCCTGGAATATAGTTACAGAGATGGAGGAGTGATGAGCAAAGGGGTCAAGACCATGATGATGAAACCCACAAAGACAGCTGACCAGATAAGGGGAAGCTCTTGAATCCCAGACTGATGGCTGAGCGGCCAACAGGGGACTGATCCAGACTCCATGAATGTAGTGCCAGGGAGGAGGACACAGTGGGAGTAGATCAGTGTTTACCATGGTTTATGAATGATCTTTGGGAGCCCATTCCAAACAGAGGGATGCTCTCTCAACCTGGACACATGGGAAAGGGCCTAGGTCCTGCCCAGGATGAAATGACAGACTTTAGAGATCCCCCCCAAGGAGGGCCTCATCCTCCCTGGGGAATAATGTGGGGATTGGGTAGGGGTCTGGGGTGGCTGGTTAAGGGACAAGGGAGGAGGGGTGGGAGAGGGAGCTGGGGCTGACATGTGAAACATTCACGTTTCTAATCTAAATAAAAACATATATTGAGAGAAAAAAGAGACATGTCAATCCCAGCTCCCTCTCCCTCCCTTCCTCCACCGCTCCCCCACCTCCAATACATTTTCAATGAGCCAACTCCAAAGAAGACCCCATAATCAAATGTAGGTGAACAATACTACTGGACTCAATAGGTTTCAAAAAAAGAAGAAAAAAATACAGGGAGTTGAGTGAACAGAGATGTGGGAGTGAATAGGAAAGAGTTAAATGATGAGGAGTGAGTGTGATTAAAATACATGGTAAGAAATTATCAAAAAATCATATAAATACTGTTTTTGAAAAGGAGAAAGAATTGTTAATGTTAAAACCTTGGTGAAGGCCGAGAGTTGATGGCGCACGCCTTTAATCCCAGCACTCGGGAGGCAGAGGCAGGAGGATCTCTGTGAGTTTGAGGCCAGCCTGGTCTACAGAGCAAGTTCCAGTACAGCCTCCAAAACAATTCAGAGAATCTCTGTCTTGAAAAACCAGAAAAAAAAACCTTGGTGAGCAGAAAGAAGGCAGATACAAAGCTGAAATGGAAATGAAAATAACTTACAGTGCAAGAGAGTATGGCGAGGGGCAAGAAAGCACTTGAGAAGAGATGAAAATGCTGTGTTTGGATTCGATGGAGGACAAGAAGTGTACTTATTAAAGTCCACACTTCTCAGCTGGCCATGGTGTTTCATGTTGTAATCTCAGCCCTTTGGAGGCAAAGGCACATGGATCTCTATGAGTTTTAGAGCAGTATTGTATATATAGCAATGTTCAGGCTGGTCAAGGATAGAAAACTCATATATATGAGCTCTAGCACACACCTTTAATCTCAGGACTCAGGAGACAAAGACAGGCAAATATCTGAGTTTCAAGTCAGCCTGTTCCACACAGAGGGTTTCAAGGCAGACAGGGTAACACAGAGAGACCATGTCTTGTACAAAATAAGCAAACAAAAAACTACCACCAACAGCAAACTACCAGGCAGTGTAATAACTATTCAGGACTCAAGGACACTAAAATGACATCAGCACTGAATGCAAGTGAACTTGCAGGAAATAACTACAGTGACATTATCTAGTCAGTGGATGAGTACATGGATTCTAGATTAGAACATATTCCTAGATCAGTAGTAAATGTCCTGAGTTTGATCATTTAACTATGGTTGTATAAGATAAAGTGTTGTTCCTGAAAAATATTTAGGAACATTTGGGCCTCAATTTTGTTTGGTTTGTTTGGTTCTGTGACACAAGCTATCACTGTATTCATTTTTCCTTCAGCAATCTTGTCTTAGCTACTTAAATGCTAATATTAAAGATGTAAGCCGTACATCTAGTCAATATCAATTATTGCCACCATCTCAATAAGGCCTCAACTTATCATAGATGAACTAAAGAAAGGTGGGTAGGACAACTAATGTCTTGGATAAAATACATTCAGCAGTTTCGTGAACTACTCTTGAAACTGTTCACCAAATTTGAAATTATATTTTATGGCCAAAGAAATGTTTGTAACAATAAAGAAAATTTACATGAAATAAAACACACAATACAAAATAGCAATCAACTAATAAGACATAGAAGACCACAACTATATTATAATTATTAATTGTGCTTTCAATTAAGACAGTTTATCCTATTGATAATGAAATACTCAGGCTGTTTATTACGGTTCTTTATTTAGTTCTATGGGTGTGTAAAAAACAGAAAGAGCAGATTTTTCAGGGGCTGGGAGCAAAGGGTGTCCATGCACCAGAGTAGCTATATCTTTTCTCATCCAGGAAGGAAAGTGGCCTCTGTGCTGTCATGTCTGATTCTGGAGACCATTCCCAGCATCTTCCAGGTCATCTCTGTGTGCACAGAGGACTAAGTCCTGTGACCAAAACACTTGTTCATGGGAAGTCGCAGATTATTACAGTAAACACATGAGCATCAGCACACTCCATTTTTCCTTTATCATTTGCTGGACAGTGAATCAGGGAATGGAAATTCTCTTCTCACAGACACAGTGGTAGAGTTGATCACATCCAGCATCATCTATTCTTGTTTTAGACAGAAATGCACATCTCCTAGAGTTAGGATTGAAATTCATTATGTTCAAGTCACTAAAGAATAAAAACAATGGGCAATTATTTAGCTTTGAATATTCACTGAAATGTCATGTGTTTGCAAACTCTATTGGCCAAAGTATATAGAATATGGAAATATTAGTTATAAGTTAATTACTAAGATGTTTTACTTTCTATAAACTCATTAAAAAGTAATCATCTGTTGGTCATATGAAAATTCCCATCTTATTCTACAGAAAAATAATTTTCAGTATTTCCAAGCAATTATTTTATGCTGTCTGCTTTGTCACTTATATATTGCCAATAAACATGCCATATAGAAGCAAATGTGTGTAGCACACAGAACAAGGTGTCATATGCTGGTGTTTAAGGAAAGAGGGAAGATTTGGAACAGAGTCATACATGAGAGCCTATAGCTAATGTTTTGGAATGTTTTGCCTTTCTTCCTTTCTCACCTCATAGCTAATGAGTCTGAAATGAAACATGATAATCTGCTGAATTTCCTGTATGCAATACAACACATGAGTTTCTATTGAGGAGTCATATAGACTGTGGCTTAGGTCAATGATTAAGAAAAATAAGTCAGTTCCAGTACCCCAGTTAGCTTCAATTCTTTAATATTAATGCAGAGAGATGGTTAACAGGTTTCAGTGTTCAGTGAAGCAAAGCCTTAAAATGACTTCACTTTAGATTAAGATGTTTTGATATTAGCTTTGCAATATAAAATCCTAGAAAACAATCTAAAGTCCACAGGGACACATAGCCAAGGGATGTACTCATTTGATTAGGGAATCCAAAAACAAAGCCGCCCAATTATTACTAGCTGACATACTTTGCTTGCTAAGATGATGATTAATTCCTTATACACATCTATGCACCCAATCTCCTGATACAAAAAGAGAAAAAAAACTACTGAGTGGGTATGTATCCTAAAGTAAGACTGATTTCTTTTCACATGTAAAAGTTTAGGTTTATGATTCTTTTAAGATTCCTTACAAGATTACCTTTCAAGATAAGTAATAAGGTGATTGATTGTTTCTTTGTAACCACAATATGCAGCCTGACAGCAAAAGAACTGGCTGAGGAAAATCCCTTGCTTGTTCACACCCTTTCAACCTACAATAAGCTAGATGTAAATGTATGTGGTTTCTTGGGATGACTTTATTTTAATCATGTAAGAGATATGAAAAACACGTTTTTTACCTGTGCTCATTATAATAATTTATTTGGAAGGCAGAATGTAGCCACATTATAATTTCTACATTGCCTGAAAGATTTTGTTCAATTATGTAAGCTGTAGAGGAAAAATACAGTCAGAGAATAGAGAATAAGGAATACAGAAGTAGGAAACCATCGGGAGAATATGTGAGTGTCTTTCCCCTTATACCTTATAAAATGGTGTTGTTAGTCACTCTGATTTCTTTTGGGCCCTGCCCTTCTGGAGGCTGGCTCCTCAGGCAGGGGTAAATGCATATGTTACAAAGGAGTGCCACTTACTGGCTTGCTTCCCCAAATTTGCTCTGTCTACTTTCTTATAGTATGCAAGACTAGCAGCCCAGGAGTAATACTACCTACAATGTTCTTTGGCCTTCCACATCAGTCAATAATTAAGAAACTACCATACAGGCTTGCCTACAGAGAGGTAGTATTGAGGCACTTTCTCAATTTGGGTTCCCTCTTCTCAATGGACTCTAGCTTGTGTCAAGTTGACATAAAACTAGTTTTCACACTGGTGTTTATAAAGGTGTACATATCTGCTAAAATTCATATTTCTCAAGATTTACGGTGGGTGCATTTCATTATAAGCCCACTCCAACTTTAAGACTCAATTTTCTAAAGTGTTATTGTCAAAAGAAAGAAAGGAAGGAAGAAAGAGAGAAAGATAAGCAATCAGGAATCAAACTGTTTATAATAAAAGGAAAATTAGAAGTGAATCTACTGCATGATCCTGCATATGAGGAAATATCAACAATGACATGATCCAGAAAACTGACAAAACTTGCTAACATGAATATGGATTATTGATTAGAACATATTACTAGACAATCTACATTTCTTGAGTCTAATGACTTCAGTGTGATGCCGCAAAAGAAATTTCTTCTCCCTAGAATATATTTTGCAGCAAATAAATGCATTCTAAAGATTACAAATTCTTCTACATGCAAAAAGTAAACAGTAACAAACCAACTAAAAAACAGAAACAACCAACTGCAACTTAGTTCTTAATTGTGATGTCAAAGCCATGGATATTGAAATGATTTCTTCTAATAATGATGAGATAGACATATGCAATATTTACTAGGGATTTTTAATTAAGTTCCATGTGTAATTCAGAAAAAAAGACATTGATTTCTCAGGGTCCTTAACCTAAGGCATCCATTCTACACATACAAGCTGCTGTGTGTACCAGGAAGAAAAATGGCTTCTGCTCTGTTAAGTTAGACACAGAAGAGCATTTCTTCCCTTTCCAGCTCATCACCCTGTTGACACAGCAGAGTGAGACCTGTGGTTAAATATTTCACTGTTAAGTAGTCATAAATCCTCACAGGAAACAAACAAAGATCACCACATTCAAATTTTACCTTTCCTATGTACTGCACACTGTATCACAGTAAGTTCTAACACAGTCATCTTTATCTATACCCGTTGAACTGAAAACTGCACGGCCTCCTATCTTATGTAGTGATCTCATTACTGTCAAGTCACTATAAAATGAAAACTAGAATGGGCAGTTATTTAAATTCAAACCTTATATTGATTAAGTTCAAGGTTTCTAAAATGAGGCTTATTTATGAAAATGTGCGGAATTTGGAATTAATCATAAGTATATTAATAAAAGGTCTCAATTTTCTCTAAGCTCATAAAAGATGGTCTTGTTCCAGTGGCATGGCTCAGTGGGTGGAAGCCATTGGCACCAGACAAGGCAGCCCAGAGTTCACACCTCAGATCCCACACAACAGCAGAGAAGTGACTCTTTCAATACTCCTCTAATTATACCTATGCTGTGACCTGTATGCCACAGTACATGTGAACATATACACAATAAATAAATAAATGGAATAAAATAAAATATAAAAATGGTCTTTGGCCACAACTCAATTTCTTATGTACTTCACATTGTTAATTTTTTATAAACAAGTTAAATTAATTTTCAGTATTTCCATGGAGAGATTTTATACTGAGATTGCTTTCCTCTGATACTTTTTACAATAAAGACAGTTTTTTATCATTTTTTATTTTAATTTTAAATAGCTTGTTTTACATGTCAATCCCAGTTCCGTCTCCCTCCCCTCCTCCCGCACCCCCCTTCCCCCCCACCCTCCCACCCTATTGCCAATTCCTTCCACATAGGGGATATCCAGAGTCTGTCTTTTCACTCTGGGTAGGGTCCAGGCACTCCCCTAAGAGTCCAGGCTGAGAGAGCATCCCTCTTTTAAAAAGAAGAAATAGTGCATGTGGCACACAGGACAAGGCCTTGCAGGCCTGTGTTTTAAGAAGAAAAGGGACATCTGTTATAGAACAGTCACAGAAGACGGTTTGTGACTGCTTCTGTGGTTGTTTTCCTCTTTCCACTCCTCAGAACTATTGGGACTTCACTGAAACACCATGATGGACTGAACTCCCTGCATGCTACACAGGTGTACTCTCTGGTGCATGATGAATACTAAATCCACAGCTACCTTCCACTGGAAAAGCAATTCAAAATGTTAAATAAAAAATAAAACTCAGACTATGGATACCCCCATGGAGGGTCTCACCCTTCCTAGGGAAATGAGGGGATAATGGGGGAGTTAAGGGGAGGGAACGGGAGGAAGGGAGGGAAAGGGAGAGGGGCCTGGAACTGACTTGTGAACCAACCATGTTTCTAATCTAAATTTAAACTTAAAAATAAAAAAAATTGGTAAAAAAATAAAATAAAACACAGACAGGCATTGGTAGCACACAATGATAAGCTAACATCGTGGAGGCTGTTTTAAGAGGATTATAAACCTGGTCAGACTGGACTATGGAGCAAGACCCTGATCAAGTATTAACTAGTAGTTGAAACTTTCTTCGATACATTAATGGACAGGCAGGAAGCAGACTTCCATGTAGACCGAGGCTTCAGAACAGGTGAGACTCCCCAAGCATCAGTAAACTATGGCAGCCAGTCTTTCTAATAGGTGAGGCAAAATAAATAGTAAATCTGTGGAAAATGATATTAAAATACTGAATAATGAATCCAGAAGTATAAGGAGTTCAAGGCCAGTTAGGGAAATATAGCGAGTTCAGACCAGGCTAGCCTAATGAGAACTTAATCAAAGACTACCAGACAGAGAATGAAATCCACCAAACTCCATGGGAATGAAATAGCAAAGAGATGACACATTAACAAAACATCACCTCGCTTTAACTTTGGATTTAAGCTAGATGGAAATAGAGGGTTTAGATTTATAACAGGAAAACACAGTGAAGAAAATCAAGTGATGTGGCCCATGGATCATATACAGACCAAATAAGATACAGTGAGGATGAGTTCACACATTGGTCAGCCATGGGGTGTGATTATGAGTACAGTCAATAAAGCAGGTATGCTGAACATGAACAGAGAGAAAAACACTGTAGTAAACACTAACTATTCAAAAGATACACTTGAAACTCTTATTCTGCATCATAAGCTTAACTTCATTCATATGGTGATGCCCATCTGGACCTCTATACAAGAAACACAAGTTCACAGCTGTCCACGGGGTTCATCAGAAGCTGACATTGTAAGCAGATATTCAAGCTACTATGTCTTCGCACTGGGGTAGTCACAGACACCTGACCACTGGAATTCCTTACTGAAGCCTCAGGTTTGTCCCTAGTAATCCCAGCATCATCAGGGATCAGCTCTGTAACATAGTCATGGTCTACAAAGATCACTTAATCTGGAGACTGCATCCTTTCAGCCACTGGAACCTCACTCTAAATGTCACCACCTGCCCATTTCACTCTGTATGGTGCTGTAGGATACCAAAAATTCATTAGTCCTGTGGCCTTTCACAGTCACAAACACCATCAAATCTGGTGCTCTGGAGGTAGATGCAAAGTAGCAGAGCTAGCCTATATGAAACGGTACTTCACATAGAAAAAGCAAAATCAACAAAGATGGTGTTAATCTGTATGATTTGAACATAATAATACATCTTATAAAGCCTACTGTCCTCTGGCCACCTCTGCGATAGTGTGACTACCTCTGTGACAGTGTGGCCACCTCTGTGACACCATGCTTGAGAGTGTCCTTGGAGAAAAGAAAGGAAGCTATTTTCCTGCAGATTTGGAATCTAGTTGTCCACACAGGCAGGGTCACATATGTTTAAATAGAAGTGAGGCAAACCAGTTCTCAGGCACTGAATGAAAGATTCCTGAGAAAGTTACCACTGATGATGCCTCAGAGAGTTTCTACAGCAGCTAAAGAAGAAATTCACTGAAAACTTCAAAGAAAATGCCATCATGAACAAAATCCAGAAAAAAAATAACAACAACAACAACAAAAGTATACAGGCAATAGGATAACCACCTAATACATGTAAAATAAGTACGGTTTGTATCTTTAAAGGGATGAAAGAATGCAGTCACACCTGCTTGTAGTCTGAGTACTTGAGAGATGAAGATGCAAGGTTCAAGAGTTCAAGACGAGTCTGGGAAACATAAACCCCTATCTCAAATCAACAACAAAACAATAAAAATTAAATTATTTTTAAATTATACATAAGGCAACTTAGAATGTAACTATCTAATGAAGATATTAAAGGACAAAAATGATTAGGGGATTTTTAAAAACTTTATATTTCTAAAAAATCAATAATCATTAAAAATGACAAATATGGGATATGAAGGGGGATTCTGAGTATTAAAGGATAAAACGTGGATGAATACTGGAATAGACAGGAGAGAATAAAGTATGGATCAATCAAAACTAAGGATATATAAAGAGCCTTATGGATACCCATTAGTTAGTAAGCTCAGAGTTGAACAACACAAAATAAACTCCTTTTTTGTTGTGTAATTTGGGAACTTTAGTGTGTTTGTTTCTTTGTTTTGGTCAATGTTTTATCTTATTGGTAGATTTTTTATAGTTTGATTTTATTCTCCTTTTTGTTTTGTTTTTGTTTTTTGAACAGAGAGAGAGAAGAGAGAGAGAGAGAGAGAGAGAGAGAGAGAGAGAGAGAGAGAGAGAGAATAACATGAAGTTGAGTGAGTAGGGAAGGAGGTGGGAAGTGACTGGGTATTAAGCAGGGAGGAAAACATCATCAAAATATATTCTATGGAAAAATGTAATTTTAAAATATCAAAATAATGGTAGAGCTTAGCACACTCCAGCACCAGGACTGGCATGGAGTCGAAGCAGCAGGGATGGCTGGCTGACCCCACGGAGCCTCACATGGCAAAGAGGATGAGAAAGGCAACCATCAGACAGAAGAGCCCCATGGCCTCAGACAGGGCAAACCCCAGATTAGCATAGGAGAAGAGCTGTTGCTTGAGAGACGGGTTCCTGGCATAGCCGATAATCAAGCTACCAAACACTGTTCCAATGCCAGCCCTTGATCCAGCCACACCAACTGTGGCAGCCCCAGCACCAATGAACTTGGCAGCTGTGTCAATGTCCCAGGAAATAACACTGGTCCAGAATTCCCGTATGGCCACCTGGAGAGGGGAGCTGCTGCAGGAAGGCTGTTTAGATGGGGCCTCTGGTCTACTAAAGAGGGAGGCATTCAGTGGCTGATGGAAGCAGAGGCAGACTCCCACGGCTAAGCACTGAGCTGAACACAAGAAATCCAGTGACAGATAGGGAGGACTGTTGACCAAAGGGATTAAGACTGGGCTGGTTTAACCCCCAGAAACAGCTGACCTGACAAGGGTTAGCTCTTGAATCCCAGGCTGATGCCTGGGAATCTAGCATGGGACTCATCAAGACCCCCTGAATGTGGTGTCAGTGAGGAGGTCTAGGTAATCTATTGAGCCTTGGGTAGTAGATCAGTATTTATTCCGGGTATACAAATGGACTTTGGACTCCCATCCAACAATGAGAGAGGTACTCTCACCCTGAACTTTTGGGGGAGGGTCTAGGCCCTGCCCTGGATGAAATGACAGATTATGGACACCCCATGAAGGGCCTCAGGGAAATGAGGGGATATTGGGAGAGTGGTGGGAGGGCATGGGAAGAGGGAAGGGAAACAGAGAGGGACCTGGAACTGACTTGTGAAGCAACCTTGTTTCTAATTTAAATTTAAATTTAAAAATATAAAATATATATATATAAAATATCAAAATAAAATTTTTAAAATGAGTTAGATCCACTGAAAATAGGAGTTATTAAATGACAATCAAAGTGCAAAGCAAGGGATACCTCTAAAGGAATTATTAGTCAGGGAGACCACAGAGGTCTCCAAACAGCACAGGCTGTTGCTATGTACTTGGTTTTCCACCATAACTACATGGTAATACCCCATTGCTGAGGCCACCACACACTTATTGTCAGTACATGGAAACATCAATCTTAAACCAATCAGGAAATATATTCCCTTGGGTTGGCTTTCAATGGATCAAAATTTCCTTTTCAAGATGCTAAGGGATTGTCTTAGTTGGGTTTTTTGTTGCTGTCAAGAGACACCATGACCTTTGCAATTCTTACAATGAAAACATTTAACTGGGGTAGATTACAGTTTCACAGGCTCAGTTCATTATCATCATGGTGGGAAGCATGGCAGCATTCAGGTAGGCTTAGTGCTGTCTACATCTTGATATGCAAGCTACACTTGGCAGTATCCAGAGCACAGGAAACCTTCCAGCCAGTCCCCACTGTGACACACTTCCTCCAACAAGATCCTACGCACTCCAACAGGGCCACATCTCTTAATAGTGCCACTTCCTGTGAAATTATGGGGACCAATTACATTCAAAATACCACAGTGAGAAAAGATAAAAATGGTCTTACCTGTACTGGATGATGCATGACACAATACTGACCTGCTAGGCAAGATGTGCTCACTGAAACCATTATTATGAAATGGCTAACTGAATTCTAAATGAAGTTAAGGGAAACCATGTTTGATTTTGTAATCCAAATCAAAAGTCCATGATTGGGTAAGTCATGGTTCCTAGTGGAAACCTGATACTACTACGTTTACACAACGGAGTACTATTCAGAAGAAAAAAAAACAATGGAATCCTGAGATTTGCAGGCAAATGGATGACACTAGAAGAAACCATCCTGAGTGAGGTAACCCAGTCACAAAAAGAGAAACATGGCATGTACTCTCTCATATATGGAATTTAGACATAGATCTGGGGAGTGCCATCCTACAATCCCGTGACCAGAGAGTCTGGGAAACAGAACCTTTATTCAGTGGCTGATGGAAGAAGAGGCAGACTCCCATGGCTAAGCACTGAGCTGAATTCAAGAAAGCCAGTAACAGAGAGAGAGGACTGATGACCAAAGGGATCAAGACTGGGCTGGTTTAACCCCCAGAAACAGCTGACCTGACAAGGGTTAACTCTTGAATCCCAGGCTGATGCCTGGGAATCCAGCATGGGACTCATCAAAACCCCTTAATGTGGGTGTCATTGAAGAGGCCTAGATAATCTATTGAGCCTTGGGTAGTAGATCAGTATTTATCCCGAGTATACAAATGGACTTTGGACTCCCATCCAACAATGTGAGATGCACTCTTACCCTGAACTCTTGGGGGAGGGTCTAGGGCCTGCCATGAATGAAATGACAGACTATGGATACCCCCAAGGAGGGCCTCACCCTCCCTGGGGAAATAAGGAGATAATGGGGGGTGGGGGAGGGAACAGGAGGAGGGGAGGGAAACAGAGAGGGACCTGGAACTGACTTGTGAAGCAACCTTGTTTCTAATTTACATTTAAATTTAAAAATAAATAATAATAAAATAAATAAAAGTAAGCATTTACTGTAAAAAATAAAGAAACCTGATACTATTATTTTGCTAAGTGTTCCTGTGGTCAAATTACATTCTTAATATTTATGTTTAGGGCCTGGATCTCGGCTGATCTCAACCTCCATTTGAGGGTGCAGTATGCAGTGGTTAGTGGAGAGAAGCAGAATTGGTCAAAGTGCTTAGGAGAAGAAAGTATGTGCACAGCCCCAGAGAGACATCTTCATAAAACCCTTCCCCCAAACACCACCACCAAGACTCAGGAAAGAGGAGGGAAGAAGAGGCAGGAAAAAAATGCAAGAACTAGAGAAGGGAGAAGGCACCATGAAAAGCAATGTGTGGACCTGACAAAATTTATATTAAATGACAGCTACTAGAAAAAGGGAATTCATTGAGGGGAGGATATAACCACTGATGGGTATCCTTGCTTCTCTGGATTCTCTACCTTGAACCTAGGAACAGCTTCAATTAAGAAACAGGAGTAAAGCTGGGTGTTGGCGGCACACGCCTTTAATCCCAGCACTTGGGAGGCAGAGGCAGGTGGATCTCTGTGAGTTCGAGGCCAGCCTGGTCTACAGAGCGAGTTCAAGGACAGCCTCCAAAACAATACAGAGAAACCCTGCCTCGAAATAGGAGTTAGAGGGGCACTTGTTAGGATAGAATCAGAGAAGTTTGGGGGAGGTAGGGAAGGATATGATCATATTTTATTTTATATATAGGAGATATATTCAAGAAATAAATATTATTATGAAATGTAATCAGTGAATAGTTTTATATTAGATTATAAATTAGCATAAAACTTGGAGGTTATAACAATACGATACCTTGAAAATCTGTACTCCACAAAATTTGAAAATTTAAAGGAAATGGACAATTTCCTGGATAGATATCACTTGCCAAAACTAAATCAAGAACAGATAAATAATCTAAACAGACCTATAACCCCTAATGAAATAGAAGCAGTCATCAAAAGTCTCCCAAACAAAAAAAGCCCAGGCCCAGATGGCTTCAGTGCAGAATTCTACCAGAAATTCAAAGAAGAGCTCATTCCAATACTCGTCAAAGTATTCCACACTATAGAAGCAGGAGGCTCACTGCCAAACTCTTTCTATGAGGCTACAATTACCTTGATACCCAAGCCACACAAAGACACAACTAAGAAAGAGAACTATAGACCAATTTCCCTCATGAACATTGATGCAAAAATACTCAACAAAATACTTGCAAACCGGATGCAAGAACACATCAGAAAAATCATCCACCATGATCAAGTAGGCTTCATTCCAGGAATGCAGGGATGGTTCAACATTAGAAAATCTATCAATGTAATCCACCATATTAACAATCTGCGAAAGAAAAACCACATGATTATCTCACTAGATGCTGAAAAAGCCTTTGACAAAATCCAGCACCCCTTCATGATAAAGGTCCTAGAGAGATCAGGGATAACAGGAACGTACCTGAACATAATAAAAGCAATATACAGTAAACCAACAGCTAACATCAAACTAAATGGAGAGAAACTAAAAGCAATTCCTCTAAAATCAGGAACAAGACAAGGCTGTCCACTCTCTCCATATCTCTTCAATATTGTACTTGAAGTTCTAGCTACAGCAATAAGACAACAAAAGGAGATAAAGGGGATACAAATAGGAAAAGAAGAAGTCAAGCTTTCATTATTTGCAGATGATATGATAGTTTACATATGTGACCCAAAAAACTCCGCAAGGGAACTCCTAGAGCTGATAAACACCTTCAGCAAAGTGGCAGGATACAAGGTAAACTCAAAAAAATCAGTGGCCCTATTATATACAGATGATGAAGTGACTGAGAAAGAAATCAGAGAAACATCACCTTTTACAATAGCCAAAAACAGCATCAAATATCTGGGGATAATGTTAACCAAGGAAGTGAAAGACCTGTATATCAAAAACTTTGTGTCTTTGAAGAAAGAAATCAAAGAAGATACCAGAAAATGGAAAGATCTCCCATGCTCTTGGATTGGTAGGATCAACATAATAAAAATGGCAATCTTGCCAAAAGCAGTCTATAGATTCAATGCAATCCCTATCAAAATTCCATCACAATTCTTCAAGGACCTGGAAAGATCATTAATCAACTTTATATGGAAAAACAAAAGGCCCAGGATAGCCAAAACATCCCTATACAATAAAGGAACTTCAGGAGGCATCACCATACCTGATTTCAAGCTCTATTATAGAGCTATAGTCCTGAAAACAGCTTGGTATTGGCACAAAAATAGGCAGGTAGACCAATGGAACCGAATCGAAAGCCCTAATTTTAACCCACACACCTATGAACACCTGATTTTTGACAAAGAAGCTAAAACTGTACAGTGGAAAAAAGAAAGCATCTTCAACAAATGGTGCTGGCATAACTGGGTAATGGTATGCAGAAGACTGCAGATAGATCCATGTTTATCGCCTTGTACAAAACTTAAGTCCAAATGGATCAAAGATCTCAACATACATCCAGCCACACTGAAACTTTTAGAAGAGAAAGTGGGAGATACTCTTCAACGAGTTGGTACAGGAGACCACTTCCTAAACATAACACCAGTGGCACAGGCACTGAGATCAACAATTAACAAATGGGACCTTCTGAAACTAAAAAGCTTTTGTAAGGCAAAGGACACAATCAAAAGACAAAAAGGCAGGCCACAGAATGGGAAAAGATATTCACTAACCCTACATCTGACAGAGGGCTAATCTCCAAAATTTACAAAGAACTCAAGAAACAAGTCTCCAAAACACCAAAGGATCCACTTGAAAGGTGGGGTACAGAGCTAAATAGAGAATTCTCAGTAGAGGAGGCTAAAATGGCCAAGAGACACTTAAGAAAGTGCTCAACATCCTTAGCCATCAGGGAAATGCAAATCAAAACAACTCTGAGATACCATCTTACTCCTGTCAGAATGGCTAGAATCAAAAACACCGAAGACAATTTATGCTGGAGAGGATGTGGAGAGAGAGGATCACTCCTCCATTGCTGGTGGGAATGCCGACTCATACAGCCTCTTTGGAAATCAGTATGGAGATTCCTCAGGAAAATGGGAATTAATCTACCACTAGACCCAGCAATTCCACTCTTAGGCATTTATCCAAATGAGGCAGGTTCATACAACAAGGGCATCTGCTCCACTATGTTCATAGCAGCATTGTTTGTAATAGCCAGAACCTGGAAGCAACCTAGATGCCCCTCAACTGAAGAGTGGATAGAGAAAATGTGGTACATTTACACAATGGAGTATTACTCAGCAGAAAAAAACAATGGAATCTTGAAATTCGCAGGGAAATGGATAGCACTGGAAGAAACCATCCTGAGTGAGGTAACCCAGTCGCAAAAAGACAAACATGGTATGTACTCACTCATATATGGATTTTAAATATGGATCAGGATAGTGCCAGTCTGCACTTCCACAGATAGAGAGTCTGGGAAACAGGAAAGAACCTAAAAGATATGCATATATGCATAGTACCCAAGAGAAGAGGATGGAGACAAGATCCTCTGAATGGATGGGGAACAGGGCGAGGGGGTAGTGGGACCTGGGAAGAGTAGAGGGGTAAAGAGGAAGGGAGTTGGTCATGGGGGAACAGGAAGTTGAGGGGGTGGGGGTAAAATAGGGGGAAGAGGGAATCATAGGATCGAAGACAGATCAGGCACCAGAGTGACCTCGAGTGATCTAAAGGTATAACATCAATTGGCAAGCTAAGCAATAGTGGAAGGACCACCTCGAATGCCCATTCCTGATAATGAACTTGATGTCTATAACTATCCGGGAGCCTTCATCCTGGGACTGATGGAAGCAGAGGCAAACACACAACTAAGCACTGAACTGAACCCAAGGAACCCAGTGACAGAGAGAGAGGAGTGATGAGCAAATTGGCAAGGAATGGGCTGGCAAAACCAGCAGAGACGGCTGATCTGAACAGGGGAGTGCTCTTGGACCCCAGACCGACAGTGGGGAGGCCAGAATGGGACTGATCTGGACCCCCAAATGTGAGTGTCAGTGAGAAGGCCTGGGCAACCTATGGGGCTCTGAGCTGTGGATCAGTGTCTATCCCTGGTATACAATCTGTCTTCATGTGCCTATGGCACAAAGAGAGATGCTCTCTCAGCCTGGACTCTTAGGGGAGTGCCTTGACCCTACCAAGAGTGAAATGATAGACTCTAGACATCCCCTATGTGGAGGGATTTGGCAATAGGGTGGGAGGGAGGGTGGAAGGGGAGTGCGGGAGGAGGGGAGGGAGAGGGAACTGGGATTGACATGTGAAACAAGCTATTTAAAATTAAAATAAAAAATGATTAAAAAAAAAAAAAAAAAAAAAAAAGAAATGGAAGGTAGATGTACATATGTATGTATATGTGAGCAGGTTGTATAGATAGATTATAGATAGATAGATAGATAGATAGATAGATAGATAGATAAATAGATAGATAGATAGATAGATAGATAGATAAAATAAGCAATTCTATAAGCTAACTAGAGAAACAAGTGAATATTTCAGATATTCACACTCATAGTATCTGTAAGGATAATCTAGTCACTTCACGTCATCTTAAGCTATTGAATTGCTTGTGCCCTCTATGTGTTAAGACATATAATCCTGAACTGTGTCAGTATTACATCACTAGCAATCAGCTTCTAGACCATTCCTTTTCCCACTCCAACACTTGCTCAAACACTGCCTTATGCATCTTGTCCTTACCTGTGAGCTCCACCAAAACTGAGGAGAGCCATGTCAAATGAGAATTTTTTTAAAGCCTCTACACACCATCCTCCCAACACCTGCACCAATGTTAGGTGTGGGGGTTCAAGAAACTTACAGTTTAGATGGGCCATCATCAATCCATTGCCATTTTCTTCTTGTATCATATGATAATCCAATCCAGTAACTCTTTGGATTAATTTGTAGCTGAAGGAATTTCTGCAAGGGAAATGACACATATTATGATAAAGTTTCTATTTATTTGGTGAGAAAAGAATCAGCATAAGAGTTCCCAGCCATTCTCATGTCAGTTCTCTGCTGTCCTGTAATCCAGTCCTTCAGTCCCTCCAAGTTCCTTTTAAAGTGATTTCCCACTAGTAGATCATTTATGTCTAAACCGATGTCAGTTACACAAGTTATTTGAAATGAAAATTTCTGGTGTCTACAGATACTGAATTCATGGTATGATTTGTGACTGTTAATCAGAGAAAGTCTCATTGTGAGGCCAAAATGGACCCTGAACTCACAATATTCCTGCTTGTGCCTCCTAAAAACAAGCACATTGGATAAATGGCTTGTTAAATAATTCCTGACTCTGGAAATTATTCAAATGTGCATTCCCAAACACTACAGAGGAATGTGGTAAGTGTTCATATGTAAGCAATGCCCAGTCTTCAAAGCAAATTCATTACGATGAAAATCCTGTGTGAAAAGCTGGGCATTAAGCTCCATGCTCCATCGAGGAAGCTGTTCTGAAGTTCAGACATGGAAGTGACAGAAATTGAGGAGGGAAGGAATAGATATTTGGAAAATACGTCTTACATGTGATATCTAGGTGGCACGATGTCTAATTCAATTACTGAATATAATTCTAAATATGGGTTTAATTTTAATTATGCTTACTACATCAGATGGCAATTTACATTATCATTTAACATTAAAATGCTTCTATGTTGTAATTTTATACTTTTTAAATTGGTATAAAATTTTGTACCATGTTCTAAATTACAAAGTTTTCCAGCTGATACTATAAGCATTTCTGTAGCAAAATATAGAATTCATACTAGAAGAAATACTATTAGAAAAAATGTCAGCATCTTGGCATCTTTGTTTTCTTTTAATTACTCATTTCTAAAAAATAGATATCTTTTTAAAGAACATAAAAGTAATATGAAGTAAAGATTATGGACAAAACCATGTAATTTCATAATTCTCATATAATCTCCATTTCTAATATTGGCCCAGAGGTCAGATACTTTCCCTATTGTCATCCAACTTCTCATCTCAGGCAGTCCTATTTCTGGGTTCCAAAGCGCAAGTCCTAGACTGCAGTCTCTCTGTGTAGTTAGCACTCTACGGAAATACATAACTGTCAGTCACAGGATGTACTGTACTACTGTTTTAAACTTATTCAGGGAAAACATGCTTTTTCCCTGAAAAGATCTTGGTGAAGGGGAGGAGATTGCAAAGACACAGCTGTCTCTTTATTAAGGAACCTCCTCATAGTAGACCCTGTTGTCCTGACTCTAAGCCAGAAACAGGATGGAGTTTCCTGGGAGACTCTTATTGCACAGGTTTGCTCACATTACCTGCAAACCATATACAACTCCTAAAGACTTCACTTTCAATACATGTGCCTGGGCTCAGTAACTCGCTACAAGGATCAGAGACATAGCCTAAGAGAAAACAATGACAAGTAAGAGTCTACGGTACCAGTTCATCATCATCCTCTATCTTCAAAAGGGATAAGCTGCAGTCCTGGCAGGTCTGCTTGCATCCATTCCAGCTTTCCTTGTCCATAATGAAATAATAACATTTTATGCCACAGCAGAACCACTCTGCTTCAACATGTTTACCTACAACAGAGAAGTGAACAGATAAATGTCTTATTTTTTGGTACACTCTTATCCAAGAAATGTACTTATTAAGCCTCTGTAACTGAGTAAATTCTTCCAATTCTCAGAAGTTGAGATTCTGGAATGCTGAGAGATCCCGGTACACCCATGTTCTATGAAGTATTGCTTGTAATAGCAGATATCTAGTATTATTTATAACAGTAGATATATAGAAACAGCTGATATGCCCATTGTGGATATATCAGTAGAAAAAATATAGCACATACACACAAAGGAATATTATGTATCCTTTAAAAGGAAGTAAATTGGCTGGGCATGATGGTGTATGCCTATAATCTGAGCATACCACAGAGTGAAATCACCACCATTTTGAAGCCAGCCTTGGCCATAATGTAGATTAAAATAAACTGGACTACAGAATGAAAGCATGTCTCAAGCTTCAACACCCCCCAAAAAGCAATGCTCAACTAAGTGACACACGTGGATGAACTCAAGGATGGTGTGCAAAATGAAACAAGACATAGCCGGGACCATACTTTATGACTCAACTCAGATGAGGGTTCTAACACAGGCCTCCCCTAAGAATCAGAGTCGGTGAGATACCGGAGCTAATGTGTGGTGAGCAAACACTTGCTAAACAGAGGCCGTTGCAAGGATCACAGGATTCTAGACATGCAGCAATGCTCTGTGCCCCAGTTCATCTACACATACTGTGCACGTAAGTTTGTGCTGTAGTCTGTGTTAGATGATGCTCTTGCCTTAAAAGAAATAAGAGACATATGAGGAACCTTTGACGGTGTTAGTCTGCTCTCCTGAGTATGTTGATGCCTTCAATAATGTTCCCACATAGCCAAACACGTCAAGTTGAATACATTAAATGTGGGCATTTTTTATAGCAACAGCACCTCAAAGTGAGTATTTGTTTTAGTGAGGTGTTGGGAAAGGCCTTGATCTATTAACAAACTTTATATCCAAACTTTGTTTTTCGGTGAAGAAGTATCAGTGTGTATCTCAGGCTGGCCTGGAATTTGCTGAGCTATCCAGATTTCCCTCAATGTTATAATCCTCCTGTCTCAACCTCCTAAGGACAGGAACTACAACAATTTGCTACCATTTATAAATGATGAAGTTACATTAAAATAATAACACAAAATGTTTTTCATGGGTCTAGAATATTTTAAAATTTGGCACTTTTCTATTCCTATTACATATTTTATAATGTAGCAGTATTAAAGATATTATTAGCCCTTCCATAATGAAGACTGTGAACCCCATCACGGCATTGTGAGATCATATGCAAAAAGTCTTTGTAAATTCTAAATTCTGAAAAAAAATATTTAATACTGAATGATAAACTGTGTTACAGTTTATTTTTTGTTACTTAAAGTTAATCACTCATGATGTAAGGTAAGAAAGGTTCCTTGCAATATTTGCTTTTTTTTTTTCGTTTTTCTTGCCTCATTCACTGTGTCATACACAAGTGTGCACACCGTGATGATGCTCCTATAGGTGCTGCAGGGAGCTTCACCATGGTCACAGCCAGGTCAACTCTCTCATACCAAGGCAGAAGGAATACACACATTCACACACACACACACACACACACACACACACACACACACACCCATTTTATTTCATATAAATGCTGTAAGCTCATTTAAGACTGTTTAGTAAACTCACTCTTACTGGACACTTACATGTTCTGTCAGCAATAAAACTGGAGTATCAGATTTACCCCCTAGAGCAAAAGAACCTTCATTGTCAGTTCTGTAGAGTTGTGATTCCATCCTCTGGAAGCAGTAGCACTACCAGAAGAGACACTAAGGCCTAGAAAATATAAGATTCTCCTAATTCAAGCAGGTATTTCTGGTATTCCAGATCCCTAAATAAAATAAGGAAAACCCCAACCATTAACTCACAGATCACCATCATTGTAAGCTGCTGATTAGACTTCAAATCTTCTGGAAAAGAACTGATACAGAATAAGGGATTCTTTATTCATGATCACCATCATACCTGAGGGCTGTTTGCAATCTAAAACAACTTTAGTTTCCCCATGGCATCTGTTCTGTTTTCTGTTGAGGGAGTCCAGATACTTTTTGAGGGCCTCAAGTTCTATAGACTTGTTTCTCAACATTTCATCCTTTAAGTAGCTGTCATTTTGCTTGATGTTGAATTCTTTTTGATGGCAATTATTTAGAGTTTTCTTCAATTCATGATTTTCTTGACTATACTGAAAAACTAAAATTAGTAATAGATATAACGCTAAAAATGCTCATAATGGATAAATATTGAAATTTAAGATAACAGAGAAAGCCCATGTTGACAACGAACACACATTACTTTAGCTGGTACTTTGGCATTTAGAAAGTAACACCTCAATTAACTCACTATAGGAATGGAAACATGAATTCTCTCTCTCTCAGGGTAACTTTAATTGTAAAGTAAACAACACAGCCAAATAAAATTATGGTGGAGGTACCACACTTCCAATTATTCCATTTTCAAGGTCCAAATTTTTCAGACAAATAGCTAAGTAAAGTATTCAGTGAATATTTAACATGACATAGAAAGGTGAACTAAGAAACTATAAGAAATGACACAATTCTCATTGGACTAGAGGGAAAGCATAATATCCATATATGTAGTCATGTCTTCGCACAGCCTGGGAGTGATTTACTCTAGAGATGTGAAGGAACCCAGTAAACCATTAACATCTCTGCACAGATGAACTCTCCTCATTTAATCATGTCCTCAATATACACAGAGGGAAATAAAAAGAGCACCTTCATTTATTTTTGCTCAGCTGTTTCTCATAGAAAGTTTACTAAGATTCACAATTACCTAAGCTCAAAAGGCAGAATGTCACCAGGTCCTCAAAAGGAGCAGTACAAAGAATGAGATAGTACAAGGCATTGCCCACCAGAACCAGTGTTATTAGTATAGGTATGTATGAGAGCAGGACACTGTGCTGTGACAGCCAAAAAACAAATATGAAGTTCAGAGCTACCTAGCACAAACACTAATTATAGGTGGACAATAGACAGTGTGTTAACTGCATGATTACTGTCTAAAGTAATCACTTAGGCAGAGAGGAAAAAAAATAATGTATTCCATTTCCTCAGTGTGTATCACCAACACTGCAACAGCCACCATCAGAATGAAAGAAAGGATTCCCAGAGGTATTGGAATGAAGTGGCAGGGGACTGAACATTCTTAAATAATAATATTAAAAAACAATAAAATAATCACCATGAAAAGAGCAAGTAATTACAATTGGGCATAGCATGGAAACAAGGGGATATTGGTTTATAAAAGTTTTATGGAAGCTCATCATACAAACTGACTCAACATGTTCTTTCAACATTGTAGATTTCTACATAAAATGAATCCACTATAGAATTGTGTAAAATTTCATAGTATTTCAACAATTTTTCACCTTTGGCTTTGTATTCTCAACCTTCCTGTCTTAGCCTAGAAGTAGCTGGATGACAGGCACAAACTGGAGCATACAGTCCACCAAGAGAGCCTAACTGAGCATGAAGAAGAAGGAAAGAGGGGTGAATGCTCTTGTGAATTTGTGGAACCATTCTGGAGCTGATCTGTATACAGCCCCATCAAAAAGGGGCCTAAAATCAATTGTCTCTTTTTTCCATAATTTCTATTTTTCTCTCGACAATATTAAACAACTTTGTGTATCTGAAGTGTGTGGAATTTCAAAACCATGCCTTTATTATCACTATATCAAAGAAGTTAAAAGTTCTCATATGAAAATGAATTGTGACAGTGTTTGCAGAGTAAGCAGAAAAAGAGGATAGAAAAGTGAGATTTCTCCCTTTTCTATTAATAAGCCTAACTATTCTTGGACATTTCTGCAAATGCACAATGTGGTTTCTTCATCCCAGTCCCATTATCCTCTCTCATGCCCATCCACCTCCTTCTTGCTCTGCAGCATTTTCCCAGGAAGAGATTTCCTCTTTAGATGGATGACTTTTCCTGCTTCATTGCATTAGATGGTGGGAAAACGTAAGACAACTAAAACATCTTCTGTTAGAGTGAAAGTATTGTTTCTAATGCACAATGTTGCACTTCTTTAAGATACCATTTCTCACATCTCCATCAATTGCAGCCCCTAAAGCCAGTCAGCAGACAAGTCTCCTATGGCCCGGCCACTCCACCACCATCCCTAGCTGCACCAGGGGGCTCCAGCAGCACAGCTCCTACATGCACAGATGCGGGAAGAGAAAGAGGATAAAGTGGCTGCTTTGCAGGCTAGATAGCTGAACTCTGTAGGCCTTAGTTCCAGGGTAATTTGTGTGTCCCACTCTCACCCATAAAAGCCCAAGCAGTTGATGAGTAGCCAAGTCTTATGGGGCCAGGTGGTTCTACCACCATCCCAACTGCATCAGAGGCCCTTGGAGGCATAGACCCACCTGCACCTATTGGAGCAAGAGTGGTACAACAGGCCCTGGGAAACACAGCCCCCATGTGCATCAACTGGAGGAAGAGTCCCAACAGATAGTCATGAGGCAAGACTACTGCACCTATGCCAGTCTACTACCAGACCCAGCAGAATCAGAAGTCACTCAGATGCACAAGTTCCACCTGCACCAACTGGAGCAAAAGTGGCTCTGTGAGGCATAGACAGCACCTGCATCAATTGGAGGAAGAATCAACCCTGTACCTATAACTACCCCAAACCCAAATTGGTAGAAGACAGTGTAAGAATACACTCAACAGTGTCGCAGAGTGGGTGTTGGTTTCACCAGGGTCCAGGAAAAGAAGACTCAGAGAGAGGTACCTAAAGGATCACTTTAGCCTTTCTTGACTGTGGGGGGATTAAGCCTCTAAGGACTGATTTGCTTTTTCTTCAATCAGGGCATCTTTAATTTTCTCCATATTTATACTTTAGTCAGTTAATTTCCATATGCTCAAAACAATTGGAAAGAAGCTCCCAAAAATGCAATGCAAAGTGCACATTCTCAATTCATCAGGTTACACTTTTTCTGTGGTTCCGAACAAAATTTTGCACAGGCTATTGTGTCCTTGGGAAACACACAGACAAGATTCACAATTGTTAACAAGAGAAACAAAGGGTATCTGCTGAACAAAATGTCAATTACGGCTAGGTGCTAACACTCTAAAGACAGCCCAGTGGTAGACCACCAGGAATGCTGCCACACAACAACATAAACAGAAGTATGGCACCACCAGAACCTAGTGGTTCTACAACAAGACCTGGACATTCCAGCACATATGAAGCAGAAGAAATTGACCTTAAAATAACTTTACAAAGATGATAGAAGGATTTAAAGAGGAAATAAAAATTCCCTTAAAGAATTGGGCTAATCTCCAAAATTTACAAAGAACTCAAGACACAAGTCTCCAAAACACCAAAGGATCCAATTAAAAGGTGGGGTACAGAACTAAATAGAGAATTCTCAGTAGAGGAGGCTAAAATGGCCAAGAGACACTTAAGAAAGTGCTCAACATCCTTAGCCATCAGGGAAATGCAAATCAAAACAACTCTGAGATACCATCTTACTCCTGTCAGAATGGCTAAAATCAAAAACACCGAAGACAATTTATGCTGGAGAGGATGTGGAGAGAGAGGAACACTCCTCCACTGCTGGTGGGAGTGCCGACTCATACAGCCTCTTTGGAAATCAGTATGGAGATTCCTCAGGAAAATGGGAATTAATCTACCACTAGACCCAGCAATTCCACTCTTAGGCATATATCCAAATGAGGCAAATTCATACAACAAGGGCATCTGCTCCACTATGTTCATAGCAGCATTATTTGTAATAGCCAGAACCTGGAAGCAACCTAGATGTGCCTCAACTGAAGAGTGGATAGAGAAAATGTGGTACATTTACACAATGGAGTATTACTCAGCAGAAAAAAACAATGGAATCTTGAAATTCGCAGGGAAATGGATAGCACTGGAAGAAACCATCCTGAGTGAGGTAACCCAGTCACAAAAAGACAAGCATGGTATGTACTCACTCATATATGGATTTTAGACATGGATCAGGTTAGTGCCAGTCTGCACTTCCACTGATAGTCTGGGAAACAGGAAAGAACCTAAAAGATAGGCATATATGCATAGTACCCAAGAGAAGAGGATGGAGACAAGATCCCCTGAATGGATGGGGAACACGGCGAGGGGTGGGGGGGAGTGGGACCTGGGAAGAAGAGAGTGGGTGAAGAGGAAGAGAGTTGGTCATGGGGGAACAGGAAGTTGAGGGGGTGGGGTAGAATAGGGAGAAGAGGGAATCATAGGATCAAATACAGATCAGGCACCAGAGCGACCTCGAGTGATCTAAAGGGATAACACCAACTGGCAAGCTAAGAAATAGTGGAGAGACCACCTCGAATGCCCATTCCTGATAATGAACTTGATGTCTATAACCATCCGGGAGCCTTCATCCAGTGACTGATGGAAGCAGAGGCAAACACACAATTAATCACTGAACTGAACCAAGGAACCCAGTGGCAGAGAGAGAGGAGTGATGAGCAAATTGGCAAAGAATGGGCTGGCAAAACCAGCAGAGACAGCTGATCTGAACAGGGGAGAGCTCTTGGACCCCAGACTGACAGTGAGGAGGCCAGCATGGGACTGATCTGGATCCCCCAAATTTGAGTGTCAGCGAGAAGGCCTGGGCAACCTATGGGGCCCTGAGCTGTGGATCAGTGTCTATCCCTGGTATACAAACAGTCTTCATGTGCCTATAGCACAAAGAGGGATGCTCTCTCAGCCTGGACTCTTAGGGGAGTGCCTGGACCCTACCCAGAGTAAAATGACAGACTCTAGATATCCCCTATGTGGAAGGATTTGGCAATAGGGTGGGAGGGTGGGGGGGGGAGGGGAGTGCGGGAGGAGGAGAGGGAGAGGGAACTGGGATTGACATGTAAAACAAGCTATTTAAAATTAAAATAAAAAAAAACAAAAAAAATTTCCTTAAAGAAATGGGGGAATAAAACAAACAAAAAATTGGGGAAAATAAGTCAAACAGGTGAAGGAAACAGTTGGATACTTAAAATTCAATTGCCAGAAATAAAGAAAACACAAACCAAGAGAATTCTAGAAATGGAAAATCTGTGTAAATGAGCAGGAACCACAGATGCAAGCATAAGAAACAGAAAAAATGAGTTGGAAGAGAAAATTTCAGGCATTTAAGATGCCAAATAAGAAATAGATTCATCGATCAAAGAAAGTGTCAAATCCAATAAATTCT